TTGCATTTTCTTCCATGACTTTCTTCAGTAATCATTTCAAGTCTTTGCTATTTTATCCTATAGTATGGTATCGTCTGCATATCAATTGTTGATATTCCTTCCTTCAATTTTTATGCCTTCTTCCTCCGAGTTTAATCCTTCTTCACATATGATATGTTCAGCATACAAGTTGAACATATAGGGTGATAAACTGTAGCCTTGCTCAGCCCCCTTGCCAATTGAAAGCCATTCCATTTCTCTGTATTTTGTCCCAACAGCAGCCTCTTGTCCTGAGTTTGGGTTATGCATCAGCATAATTAAATGTTGTGGCACACCTATTTTTTCCCCATAGTTTCCCATGATCTACACAGTCTTCTTAGAGGTACCACAAATCAAGGCATATAATAACAAAAATGCACTAATAAATTGAGTATATACTAATATCTTGCCAACAGTTGCCTGACACTTGGGAAGATATATATATATACTTTCAAAAAAGCAACTCTATCTATACATAATATACACTTGCTGTTGTGATTTTTTTTGTCTGATTGGCAGCCAAACTTGGGGTCTCGTTGCCTGTTGCAGGGATGAAAATTGCTCCCTGCACTTCTTGTGACTGTCCATCCCAACACAGTTGGCCACAAAATAATCTAAATGCCAACATTCTTGTTCTGCACTGTGTCCACATACTGTTGCTGTGCTCTAGGGAGCTTTATGTCCATGAATGTAGTCTGAATGAGGATATCCCCCATTTAATATGGCACTGGCCAATTCTTATGGACTCTTTCAAATAGTTGATCAAATACTAATCATAAGTGCATACTATGTAGAAACATGCCACATCCTTACTTCTAGAGCCTAAACTGACTTGCTAGTCTTAACTAGAGCAGACCCATAAAATCAAAGGGATTTACCTAATTGTTGATTCAATGGATTTACTCTAGTAAATGTATTTAGGTCCAAGTGTTGGCAGAGTTTGGAATGTTACATTTTTGGACTACAGTTTAGTAGTTTCCCAGCTTAGATGGCCACTGACCAGGGAACTCAGAGAATTGTAGTCTAAAGAAATTACCAAACTGTTGTGTTTGAGTGCAATTTTTGTCAATAAGCATAATTATTTATTTTTAAATTAATAAATAAGTAGAAAACGTGTGAGGAAAGTGATTTGTGTATACAGGCTTCCCTTTCTGGATAGTCCACCCTCACCCCTCACTCCCCGGGTTCTTCCTCAATGAAACGAACTGTCAGCTGTTAAAATCCTGTGTATTTTGTGTGTACATATATGGAACTGACAGCTGAAGAATTCCATAGTTTGTACATTGTACATTATTTTGTCTTTAACCTTAGTAAAAGTAATAACCTTTACTTACTGCAGAAGAAAAGTTGATGCAACTGTCTCCCCAGAGTTTCTAATTAAAATAAACAGTACAAATTATGGCAATTTTATCCTCCAGGTTGTACTACTTGGTAGTGGTTAAGTTGGTTTTTTTAACAATCAGTTTTTCAGATGGGGTTATTTGAATGCCAGATAACTTTGTGATGAGTTTAGCAATCTGCTGCTCATTGATGGCTTTTGCTGAAGCCTTTATTGTGACTATAGCATCCTTAATAATTAGGCAATGACTGGGATGTCTACATAAATTGGCATTATCAAAGTTATTTTAATCTTCGCTGATAAAGTGCTTTTCATATTGTTTAGGTCCATTAGCCAGCCAGCCATAATTTACACATGCTGGAGTATAGCATCAGAAAGGCTGAGTGTTTCCTCTGATATTGCACTGAGTTTCAGAGGCAGTGGGAAGTGAAGTCTAAGCTGTGGCTGAGGGAAGCTCTGCATGTATTATGCTCACTAGATCCAAAGATATTGGGAACTACCTGTTTGACTCAGTAAGTTACATTTGTGAACACCAAGTCCAAGTTCTTATTAATAAGTATTTACCTGCTTAGAAGGCTCGATTAAGATGCAGGGGTCCTGGAGTAGTTCCCAAAACAGCCCTCTCCCCCCTCATATACATATGTTTACTATTCTAGGGAGGTGGCATAGATATTAGATAAAAGAATAAACTATACTTAAAATGCATACTGCAGCAAAAGAACAGCACAAAAATCCTCATATAGCTTGGAAAATATACTGGAATTTTTTTTATAAAAGGCCAGTGGATGTGGATTCTTCACACCCTCTTGACTGTTTATTTATGTCTGTTTGTTGGGAGGTAAGAATGATTAGCTGGCTCAGGGGAAAGCAGGTTCAAAGACCATTCAAAATTCATCTTATTGTGTGTAATAATGATGATAATAAATAATCTCCAAACACTCCTTTGAGACCATATTTGTCTGTTTCACAAACATCCAGCATTGTGCAGTGAAGGAAATTGAAGAAAATGTGCTGACAGTCTTGAACAGAGAACAACTAGGGGTGGGATTGACTCATTCCAGGTAGAAATCTTTTTACTCTGTACTCATTCACCCATTCCCAAAGCAGAAATATATATATATATATATGCCAATCATTAGGACCCCACCACCTTATTCTCTCTCTCACACACAGACGTGCATACCTCCTCAGAAGATATGCAGAAAATGCACAAACCTACCAGCTATCAATTGAAAACATGCACAAGCAAATCCTCCCTTCCGCATTCTCCTTCTTCTCCTTCTTCTCCTTCTTCCTCTTCTTCCTCCTACACCTCCTAATATTATCCATTCATTTATATCCTGTCTTTTGCCCATACTGGGGCTCAAAGTGGTTTACAAAAACTGAAACAAATACAGAGTAAAATACCTAAAAAGTCATTATTAAAAGCATATAATTTATTTATAAATTATTTTATTATAAAGGCTATCTTTTAAAATGAATTATAGCATTAAAGCAATTTTATCCATTAAGAGACAGCAGATAAAAACCAACCAAACATATACCATTGTCTGTCCATTGCAGCCAGATCTTTAAAGCCTGTTGGAACAAAGACGTTCCACTCTCCAATGGAAAGTCAACAAAGAGGGATAGGGCAGGAGTTCCTTGTCTCCACCAAATATGTGTGGGAAAGTAGTGAGACTTAAGGCTCTCCTCTGAACACTTTAGAGCCTGGGCAGGTTCATATAGGAAGTTATGGCCCATACCCTCCAACATTTCACAGATAAAAACTGGGACATGTGTGGCCAAGCAACATCAGGTAAAAATTATTAATGAGGAGGAAAAACACAGAAACCAGAAGAGGCTGAAACAGTGTCTCAAAGGTACTTTTAGTGTCTTGAAGGCACTAAAAGTTATCATTGTTGTTTTGCTGGAACAGACTAATACAGCTACAGCTAATAGAAAAATACAGCTAATACAGAAAATTGTTGGAGTGTCACTGTCATTTTAGGTACACATATTCATTAGTACCAGTCATAGTTTGCGGCTGTCATTTTGAATGGATCTGCAAATTTTGTTTTGGGCTAAAAGGTTTGGTTAGCTAAAATCAGTACTAGACATGCTAGTTGGGAATTCTAGGAACTGTAGCCTCAAAAGTAAATTTTCAAAAATGACAAAAATCCTAGTGCATATGTACCACATCCTACAGTTAGGACCAGAATAGAAAAGGAAGTGGCATGCTTGAGTGAGAAAGGAGGATACATGGGGAAAGGGGGCATAACTTTGCAGGACACTCCTGAATATGATTGTTTAACTATATATCATATAATTTGCACAAGGCTTTTGTGCTGCTCCATTAAATTCCAGGTATGTTTTAATAGTGATAGAAGCAGGAATCACCATATTTGGTCGAGACTACCACATAGTCGTGTAAAGC